GCAGATGCATCAGATACTCCTTTTTGGTCGCCATGTCTGGGATCACCTGCTCCCAAACATATTTGCGTGTCGTATTGAGGGTCATTCCTCTTGATGTGTGCATCATGAACCTTGACAGGAGTCGTAAGTCGGCTAGATTGATACCTTGGTCGAGTAGAGGGCATTCTGCGGACAGTCCTTGGCGACGAAATTCCAATGGTTGCAAGGGGTCTGCTACGGAGCCTGATCGTTGAGAAGACCTGGATGGCGCAGAACTATGCTTAATGTGTTAGTTTGTTTATCGAAAATTATGATACCTGCCCCATAATGTGCATACGTGGATGGTGCTGATAGAGGATATGAACAGGATTCGCCGCGAAATGCGCATGCACCACAGATAGGCTGTACCTCGTCACACTGGATTGACCTGTTAGTGCATCTTATTCTATTCTGTCAGAGAAAGGTATTGCGACTTTTACTCTCCGTTGCTTACAGGTGAAGCACCCCTTGCGGGATTTATGGTGTCGGACGCGACGCCTCCTTTCCTTTGATAAACGCGAGCCACTGTCTTGGTCCCGTAAAGGTCCAGCCTCTAGTGGTGATGGTGTGTCCGACATACTATGCGTGGAGCATGCAAAGTCCGATGACTTGATGGAAGACGATGCTAATGAGCTAGGAGCTGATGGTGAGTTTGTCTGGAGGTTGGATCTTGTTTCTGCCATTTGGCTATTACGGAGGGCCAAGAGGTCCAGAGCCGCACATACACTACCTGTCATCGCTGGGGTCAGCGACGGTGTTGGCGAGGAGAGGAAGAAGAACATCCTCCCCTTCAGCTCACATATACTGAAGAATTCCTGATAAGGAATGGTGTTACTTTTTTAACAGAGCAAAAAAGGCGAGAAAAGTACTTCCATCGGTGGCAGGAGCGTGGCACAGTGACGGGCGGAAGTCTTTATGTATGGAATCAATCTTGGAGAAGGGATACTCTCATGGCGAAAGATGGGGAATCAACGGAGTGACATACCTATCCTGTAACTATTGTTCGGATTTCTCTTTGGACATTCGCATTCGGTTCGGCGGCTGGGCTGGACGACGAGAGACTCGCGGGCGGCGACATATGGCGATACGAATATACGAGGTGGAAACGATTGCAGCCCTAGAAATCTTTACGCCCAGCATGACAACTCATTCTTAGAACATTCAAGCTTACATATATACCGAGGTCATGAGACTCTTTCCACTCTTCCGATTCTCTTTAACTCTTCTTGCCGATCTACTTCTCTAACGAATTACTGAAAATGAGCAGCGACAGCAGCAGCAGCAATAACAACACCGATGCTGCCGCTGTGTTCGCATTCTACCGGTACGACCCCAGCATGGCTGGTGCGGTCATATTTACCATACTCTTCGCAATCACGACGATATGGCATATTGTCCAGCTATGCCGGACGCAAACATGGTTCTTCATTCCATTCGTGGTAGGGGGCATTTGTCAGTCAATAACCTCCGCGCAATCAAGACTAGACCCACAACAACATGCTTACTTCCACCAGTCGAAATAGTAGGCTACATTGGCCGTGGTCTCTCGAGTCATGAATCGCCCAACTGGACCCTAGGCCCCTACCTCCTGCAGACTTTATTCCTCCTCCTGGCTCCCGCCCTCCTCGCCGCCTCAATCTACATGCTCCTCGGGCGGATCATCCTGATCCTGGGCGCAGAGTCCCACGCCATCCTCCGGAAGAAGTGGCTAACCAAGGTCTTCGTCACCGGAGACGTCCTCTCATTCTTCCTCCAAGGCGCGGGTGAGTTCAGTCATCCCATCTTCGCCTTCATTCCCCTGAGACAATCCTGACACCCCGCAAAGGAGGCGGCATCCAAGCCAGCGGCAGCCTCTCCGGCATGCAAACCGGCGAACACATCATCGTCGCCGGGCTCTTCGTGCAGATTTTCTTCTTCGGCTTCTTCATGGTCACGGCCGGCGCATTCGACCGTAAGCTGAAGAAATACCCCATCCCGCGGTGTCGCGATCCGTCCATCCCCTGGCGCAAGCACCTCAACATCCTCTACCTCACCAGCTTTCTGATCATGGTGCGGTCTGTCTTCCGGTTGATCGAGTACTTGCAAGGTAATGATGGGTATTTGTTGCATCATGAGATCTTTCTGTATCTGTTCGATGCGGTGCTGATTTTCTCGGCGATGGCGGTGTTTAATTTCTTTCATCCGAGTGAGATTACCCATCTTCTGGGCGGTGGGGATGATTATGAGTTGCAACGTGGGGGTAATAAGTATGGTGTGTAGGGGGTTCGAATTGGGTACTGTAGTGTATGTTGCTTGCATTTTGTGTTCTAGTTGGGATGAAGGAGGAGCTGATTGAGATGGAGGGTGAAAGAAGGATTTGGAGGCTAAACACTGTTGTGGCATACTATATATACTCCATGTTCGGTTTGTGTATATTCATCTTGTTCTGAAAGGCGATTGCTTAGCCACAAAGATTATGAGATCATCAACATGATGATGCACCTTGATTTGCATGCGATCGCCTGGATGGTTGATGGTGCCTCGTATCACTTCGGTTATTAGAATCTTATCAACTCAGGCGTGGTCTGTGGGTGGAAACTGTGCACATCTGATCAGGATGTGTTAGTAAAGGTCCCTTGCAAAAGAAACAGCTACTTAGAAAGGTCTGTACTTGCTAGTCCGAACTAGGTTCAGAAGATATGAGCACACTGTATGAACTACAATCAGCTTCAAGTATGATCTGCTTATTTGCTATCAACACATGATGTAACTCCTGCTGGAGACCATAAATTCCATTATGTGTTAGTCAAACATGATCGATATCGCTCAAAGAAAATCCGTCTTGCAACTCCATAGAACGCCCGCTGAAATTTGCGCAAGCAAGAAGACAGACACCCTTTCACAGAAGAAGCAACACCGGAAACGCCGGATCTTCATCGGCACAGTATCAGTCGTCGTCCCACATCATCCACAGGCAGATAAGCGCCATGCAGACCATGATGCAACCCAACACCCACAGGGACGCCGTGACCACCTCCGCGGAGCCGGAAGTTGCCACCCCTTTATGGGTAGGGGGATGAGTGCCTGTCAGCGTAGTAAGGTCGGAGCTCTCATCAGTGACGGTGGTCTTCGACGCCTTGGCGGTGAAAGTGACAACCACCGTGACGCGGCTAGAAGTGCCGGTTTCCTGGGGAGAGAAGGTTGCAGGGACCACGGAGCCTTTGTACATGTAGATTGTCGAGGTGGAGGTGGGCAGGTGACGGGTGGAGGTTGGGGAGGAGGATGCTTCGGGAGTTGAGAGTGCAGCCAGCTCATGGAGACTCATGGGGGTGGGGGTAGGCCACTCGGTCGAAGAGGATTCGGTGCGTGGGTTTGAGCAGGGGTAGTCTCGTTTAAACAGAGTGAAACTGGGAGTAGAGGTGGCAGTAGGGACTTCCAGGGTTGTACTCAGTGCAATGACTGTGATGGTAGTATAGGCGGTCGAAGTGCGTGTGAGTCGTGCCACAGAAGTCGAGGACCAGTTTGTCTGGGGAGAGGTGGACGGTCCGTAGACAACAGCAGTGCTACTAACACTGAGAGCTTCTCCTTGTCCAATCTGTTGAGTGTCCTCACAGAGAAGAGTTTCGGGAATGGCAACCGGAAGAACGGGGCTAGAGAGAAGGTAACCGGTACCGTTGAAGGCGCAGAGAGCGTCACCGGCCGAGGGAGAAGTTTCATGGCCTTCTAGAGCGTCAGTTCAATAGTCTAGTTAAGGGAAAAGTACTATAAGCTGATAGAAGGTAAGGATAGACTTACAGGTCGCAGCTTGCTTGTACTCATCTGGGAGCACCTTAGAAAGCCTGGTTGCGTTTGCAGTGAGCCTTTAGTGCCTTCTAAATTCGGGAGCAAGGAATGACTTACAGGATGTTACAGATATGAATTTCAACCGACACATTTGAAGCACAACTAATCAGAGTAGGCCCCTTGAGCGAGCCGTGAACGCAGTAACTTCCACCATTCTGGGGGCAAAGAACGATGTTGGTATCAGGATCGCTACAAAAGGCGCGACCGCGTCAGCTCACTTCAAGCTTTCACTGAGGCCGACTTACTAGAGTATCTGTGCTGTGGCGCTCAGTAGGAAGGAAAGGAAGATTGTGACCATTAGGGCCCACAAGGAACCCATGGTAAGTAACTGGATTTGATGTTCTTTGTAGGCTAGTTTGTAAATTCAGAATGCTAAAGCTGGAGGGATACGGAATGGTGATCGTAGATGAAGAGAAGAGAAAGAAGGATAAAGAATATTCAACACACAGCGAAGTGGATATACACTCTAGCGCGTTTTCACGTTGATATCTGAGGAACGCGTCATTTCATAGTCGCGTCTGGGGCACCATAGAGCTTGTTCTGCACATATCTTACTTGATAGAAAGAAAAGTATCTTGCTTTTCCTGCATTAAGGAACTTTCTAACTGGTGTGATGCCAGGATGAATTCTTCTAGTATTGGTTTATATAGTAGGATTTGTAGATCACATCCGTGCCAAGGATGAGGCTATACTCATCTAGACCCTTCGAGCTGTAGCGTATGGTCTAAGGTTCATATTTCAGGTCCCATGAGATATACTGCAGACCGGTAGAGAGTATAGAAGCCTATCGTACTGCTTTCCTGAGTTGAAATAGCAACCTGGAATGCAACAGGCATATCAAGTCCAGAAGTGCTCTCTATGCCATTATTCAGTCATGTGACGGCCGGACGAGGCTGTGGCTGCCTTATTCTTATTGGAAGCTTTACAATGCCTACGCACCGCCGAGGCACCTGACAAGACATGATGTCTTATCGCCTCGATTTGTTCTCTGCTCGACTTATTTCTCCGTCCTTTTTACCCCTTCAGCCTTCTCCTGTGAGTTAACCGCATTCAACCTGATACGCAACTGAAAATAATCAATTTTCATTTCATGAAACCTGCCTTTTTCGACCCTTTTATCGTCCTGGAGATGTTCACAAATTTGCCCTCTTTCTGTGCATATGTCCTTATCCAGTCTTGACTTCAAGGCTCGACGGCGGAACCTGGTTGAACGGGTCAACGAAGAGCTGCGCCAGCACTTCATCCAAGGAGATGAACACTCCAAGCGCTTTATCTGTCGCCAGGCCCTGCTAGGAATATGGCAAGACGAATCGCGGCTGCATACCTTGCTTGGTCCCAATTCGATTTCACCGCAAGACATACGCCGAGTACAGCGTGAATGCGTCGCCATTTTATCTATCCTGACTTATATCAGAGCAATCAAAACCATTGGAAGGTTTCACGCCATCCTTTATACTGACGAGATTAATGATACAAACCTCCCTTTGCAGGATGGGGAGATACGACAGCTCTTATCACTCGAACCGGAGCTCTTCTTTCTATTTAATGACTACCAATGGGCCTTCTGCCCGGCCGAAATACATTGCGATCGAGACCCACCATTGCAATTGATCGATGCACGTCGTCGTCTACCCTTCCTATCCACACCGAAATTGATTGGGTCTGGCGGTTTTGGGGTAGTAGAGCTTGTGAAAGTCGCCCCACGTTACCTGAAACTAAGTCGAGGAGCCGATTTTGAGTACCCTTATAAAGTTGCTTGCAAACGATTCGAAGGTGTCAGGAAGCTACAGGACTTCGAAACTGAGTTGGCAAACCTGCAAAATCTCAAGAGCAGTCTTACAAACCAGGCTCATATCTTGCAACATCTCACCACCATTTCACATGGGCCGCAGTACTATATCCTCTTTCCATACGCAGAGCTAGGTGATTTAGACCAGTTTCTCTTAGATGGTGCGGGACTTTACGATTTCCGCCAACGGTTTCCGCTCATTGCGCCTCATTCGACACCGGATAATTACAAGCCTCTTTTGTATCAATGCTGGGCTTTGGCTTCGGCTCTGGACTGGCTGCACAATGGAATCAAGATCAAAACTAGGGATATAAAGTGCGCCCACATGGATCTCAAGCCTGACAACATTCTGATCATGAAGGATTCTAGCTCGACCGTGGGAAAGTGGGTGATTTCAGATTTTGGGATTTCCGTCGCTGAGCATGATCGTCATAGTCGAGCGCATGCACTGAGTATCAGAGATCTTTATCGCGAGGTGACCATTGACAGATTAGCAGTCCCGCAATTGGGAACATACCAACCCCCTGAAGGGATTCATATGAAGGGTGACTCGATTGAAACCGAAGGCGCAGGGCGCCGCAGCGATGTATGGTCTTTTGGATGCGTGTTCTCTGAGGTCCTTGCATGGGCGATTGGAAGACGAAGAGAGGTGGAGGAATTTGCTTACTCGCGAGCGCGACGGGGCCAGAAGGATGCTTTTTGGGAAGAAATCACTCCCAATACGCGATCCCCCGGCAAGAAAGAGTTTAGATTATGCGACGCAGTGGCCAGGTGGCTGAATGACCTCCAGAATCAGAGATATTCGACAGACCCTGTTGTGAGGCTTTGGGCCCAGAAGCTCGCAAGAGAGATATTGATTGTCAGCAAAGCAGACAGGCCTAGTGCGGCAAAACTCGAGAAAATTGTGGGAGGTCTATACAACGCTTGTGAAATGTTGACCACCTGCGATATGCAGGAGTCAGGTCTGCCATTACTACAACGGTATGAGCCTCCAGAACTGGTAGTCACTCCTGCATGCGGTACCGGCATATCCCCGGACATCTCAAGCCCAAGCTTGTCCACAACAGGGACGCGGAGCGGGTCCAGCACTTTTAGCCAGCCGCCTACTCCAAGCACACCTGTCGATCCTACCTACGGCCACACCGTCCTACCGCACAGTAGTAGTGGCATACTTGCTGCTGCTATATCTCGATCTAAGGTACAGGACACGGTGCCAGTCGCAATGATCTACACAAATCGGATTGAAATCATCCAGATCAGCATCTCGCATAGTGGCTCACATGCATGCAGGACAAAATTGCTCCGTGATGAATGGAGAAGTGGAAGTGTGGGAGTTGCAATTGAAGGTCGATATTTTGCAGCTTGGGGAGACTGCAAGAAAAGCATGAAAAGACGTGTACGTATATCCTACATGTTTGACATGTTACTGACAGATCTTAGGTGTACATCGGGGATACTACATCTGACCCAATGTCGATGCTTCCATCAGATATAGGATTCATTAGCTCGGTGGCAATATCGGCTCAGGGAATACTTGCTCTGGTTTGTGACAAGGAGATCTTGCTGCGGTCGCAAACATCCCAATTTGAGACTCAATGCTTATTCAGCGAACGAGAGCTGGATCAAACGTTTACGCAAGCAATATTCAACGATCAGGGTAGTATGTTGTTCGCATGGGCTATTGGGAGCAGACAAGAGTCTTTGTATGTCTGGAGAATCGAGGAAAACAATCCCTCTAGCCTTTGTCATGTGGTTCACTATAGCCTGGTATGCCTAGTTCAACTTTCCTAGTGATTGTCTTCGGGTGTTCTAATGAGTTTACAGCAGGCACGTGGCCATCAGCCCACCACCATCATTCCATACAACTTCCACTCCGGATGTATCCTTGCAAGACATGACCGGAAGGACTACCTTGCGGTCTCTTTAAGCAAGGGTAGTACGGGTCTTCCGGGCATCGAACGACACAATGAGCACTTGAAAATAACTATAGGATGTTTACTGCGCGACGAATGGCTGCTTGGGCTGACGGTCCCTGGAATCGTGCGGTCCGATGTGCGTCTGATGAAATACGCAGTCACCTGGGCAGATGATCAAAATCAGTTGAGCCAGCCAGCCAGGTCGTTGTGCAAAATGCCCAAGGTCTGCAAGGATGCACTGTCGATGCAGGCATACAAGGACGGAACCATGATTGCGGTTGTGGTATGCACCAAGAATAATATATCCGTGGTCAAGCTCAGCGATACCCCATAAAATTGGGAGAAGACCAGGCATCAACATCTAGCATTGCCCCTCTAACAACCACAGACAGTACACAATAAGCAATGGAAGCTTTCCTGTCAGCCTTTAGTTATGACATGCGACTTCAAACCTGCCTCCACTCTGGTAGCCCTGACTGGCCGCTCGAACAAGCGAAATGGCTTTCTTTTCCACCATGCATCAAACCAAACAATGAGAACATATACAAGACCCGTCGCAAGCGTTAGAGGAAGCCATGTGGCTATAAAAATCCAAAAGTCGTGGGCGATCACGATCTGGCGGGCGTCCGTGTCGAACACGAAAAAGTTCATGCCATAGAGGCTGACGATGAACGAGCCGGGTAGGTAAACTGCTGAAACGAAAGTTATGATTTTGACTGCGGCGCTATCATCGACCGAGTCCCGCTGTAACATCTCGAGATGACAGATGAGGTCTCGTAATTCGCGATCGATCTTCGCTGTATCAAGTTGGTTGTGAAGAGATAAGGTATATCCGGCCTGGATATCATCAGTCTTCGTGATGTCCCAGAAATTATCCAATGGGAGTTTCGTCCTTCCTAGGGCATACCAAGTCAATTCCGTTCCGGATCCGGGGAATGAGTTCATCGCAGCTTGCAAGATAGCCATGAAGCTCCGTTCCCTTGGCGTCGTATTCCATCATAAGCTGCCTCAACCCATCATCTGCCGTTGTCAGCATCCCAGAGGCTGTCGCCACTTTCAGCTTTTCTACCAACTCAAGGTTTCCTCGACAACACACTTGAGCACGCAGGACAGAGTCGTTCAGGTCTCGAAGTGAAGAGACCATGTCATAGCTCTCCAGGGGTGTGGCTTCCTCGGGAACAGCTGTAAGAGCGAGGTCGTTCTATTAGAGTTCCACGTTGAGACGAATCATCAGCCACTTGATCTTGGAAGACGATAATGCGAGTGCGATTGACAAGGCAACAGCCTACATGTTTCTCAAACTGCCTCCCTAGGCCCCGCAAATACCATCGCCAGTTTCCAGTAAATGAGGACAAGGCAAGCGAGTGGAGAGCTGTTGGGATATAGCTGTTGTGCTCAGAATTTCCACTCGATCCCGCAAGTATCCTTGTTGCAACTTGCAGCTCATTGTGAATCCTTCGTTCGAAAACACTGGCGTCATTTGGGTGGAGGAGGATGAAGAGATCAAACGCCTTCCCACCTTCTGCGCGAGAGTGATGATGGTATACTCCGGTATGACGCCACGACCAAGTCAAAGTCTTCCGGTGGTGTTTCTCCTCAACGTAGTTGATCTGATATGTGATGTCTACAACAACTCCGATGAGCCCCTGCAATACGCAATCAGAGAGTAATAATGGTTTGACAACCTACATGAGTTTTTCTCGTGCCCACCAAGATAGACATGACTGTTTCCTGCTTCTGAAACGTTGACGTTGCTTCCGAATGAGAGCAGAACCTGGAGAAAGGACGGGTGAACGTGATATCGTCGCAGTAAATACGCCAGCAACCTGGGCGAGATTTCTAATGGGGTGATTGAGTCGGAGGAGTGAATCGAACTGGTTTATTGAGTTAATGATAGACTATATAACAAGAATCGTGAGGGTAAAATATACATGATCCTTAACCCCTCATCGTCGGACGCCAAAGCTCGTTGCAGGGCTTCCGCGGTTTCGCAGAGAATGGAATCACTGCCACCTTTCTTAACATCCGTCACTCGGACGCGGATTTTTTCCTTGGATGTAAGGACTGAAGGAACGCGAGTAGCGAGCAATTTCTCCAAAGCAATCGCATTCAGAAAAGACGAGGTATGGTGTGAGGGCAGCTCTTCCAGATAGGCTTGCCAGACGGTTCCTGCCATTCTTCCTCGGACCTTGAATTCGAGAAATCTGTCTAGGACGAGGAGAGTCTAGGGCCAGAATCTATCTATTTATAAACTCTCTTCATCGCAGTGGTGTGACGGGATTACAGCTTATAAGGCAATGAACGGGGAGTGATGCGGCTAAGCCTTGATTGCCTCAGGCCAATCCGTGTTATTGTCACTCACTTACTCCCTCGCTCACTCACATTCACAATTTGTTGGCTGAGCTTGTGAGGCTCAGCCACCAGGATTCATCGAGACTCGAGCATTTCTCCCCCCTTTCCCAAATCAGCCGGACGCACGAACCTCGCCTTCGTGCCAATTTCCCCGCGCCACCTTAACCTTGTACTTTACAGTACTCGGCTCCGCACTGCACACTTGGCCACCTACTCCTCCTCGTCGCGCTCCTTCAACTCGAGTGCCATCTGTCTAGTTGTTTCATTCCCTGTCAGCCAGCCCTGTATCCAAGGCAAATATATGGCAAAAGCCTTACTCTAACTCCTCCTTTGCTCAAGGTTAGCTCAGCCCACCTCACTAGTCACACTGAGCGCTAAGCACTTGCCTCGTCCATCCTCAGATTTACCCAGACAACCCATCGTTGACGGATGAACTGCCGCTTAGTATTAGCGTTCATGGAACTCACAACATCTGGGTAGAACGCTGACTTACTTTCACCTCGGTCGTAATGTCGTCTCCATATCTTTGTTTCAGATAATCCACAATATCGGCAGCCATCTCAATATACGTGGAGACGCTGGGAGAAAGTACATGCTGATATAGTTTATTGGAAGTCGCCATAGTGTCAGATGCTGGCCATAACGTGCAGGCCGGGCACTGCCTCTCTCTCCCGGCACCGTGATTATATACACCCTTGGTCGCATACACGAGTCAGCGACCGATGCACTTCCTTCACGAGAAACCTGGTGCTTCTTGGCTCCTTTCACCAATCAGAACTTGCGCTAGACAGCAAAAGAAAACAATCATCGAACATTGCGCCCCGGGCTCGTGAGTTGCAGACGCTCGGCAGCCCCTCTTATCAACAGCCAATCCAATCCCATTCGGTTGTTTGCGGCTCAGCTTAGCCCTGTATTCCTGGTCGGAAGCGCTCAGTGTCCTGTCACAGTCATGGCACCATGGCACAGCAAGCCTTTGTTGATTTGAATGTTGCTCTATCCATGATGCATGTCATTTTATCCCTCTTGCCGCAGTGCTTTCTATCTTGACGTGACATTACTTGATTCGTTCTGTCGCTGGCATAATCACGGTCCAGTGTATCATTTTCTGCAATGCCCGTTCGAAGGGAAACTCCAGAGAGACTCAAGTATGCCTTTTCAAATTGCAAGTCGAGGTATTATGACACAAGGCTGATACCTCCTCACCAGGCAAGAGCTTTTCGGTTTTCAGATCTTTGTGAGCACCCAGCTCCCTACTATCATTCTAATCATGTCTGACTCCCACCCAGTTCATCACGCTGAGCGCTGTGATTGGAAGTGGAATTTTTGTGAACAATGGATCTGCTCTTGCTATCTCAGGCCCATTGGGCTTGATTCTTGCAGCGCTGATCATGAGCGTTGTCGTTCTTTCGGTTAATGAGTGTGTTGCCGAACTCACTCAACAGTTTCCAGTTTACAATGCTATTGTTGAATATGTCCGCACTTTCGTCGATGATGACCTTGGCTGGGTAATCGGATTGGTCTATTGGTATGTACAAGCTGGCCCATCTCCCTGCAGTGACAGCGCTCATAAGACTTGAAGGTATGCGTACGCAGCCTCCTTTGCAAGTCAGAACAGTATGGCCGGGTCGCTGTTAGCATACTGGGGGTTAGGAACTACCTGGCGGGCGCTTATATGCTACGCCCTGGCTCCAATCGTGTTTCTGCTGCTGAATTTGACTGGCGTTTTTGTGAGTTACCTCGCGCATCCTAGCTAACTCTGAGCTAATGGAAACACAACACACAGTGGTATGGAATAGTAGAAACGATTGGTGGCTTCTTAAAACTTATAATGATAGTATCTATCTCTATCTATCTTTATGCAATTGCTGGCAATGGTGAGTGGCCCTCGCGTGCTACAGAGGTTGCTGTGCTGACATTTTGGTCAAGGCGATACCAAGGGAATCGTCGATGGTACGTTGTGTTCTTCAAATTAATATACTACTTTATACTCACACATTGCAGCCTCCTCTCCCAGGTTCGAGGCTGGCATGGGCTTCGAGAATTCTGGCCATGCTGCGTGGTACGCTAAAGTTCCTTCTTACTTTGAAACTATCTAACTCAAAGTTTAGTTTTGCCATCCCAATCACCGCCTATGCGTTTCAGGGTATTGAGCTGTATGCGATGGCAGCATTTGAAGCTCGCGACGCACACGCAATCCGTTGGCCCTCAAGATGGATATCTTACGTCGTGGTCGTTGTATACATAATGTGTACTGTGGGCGAGATCCTCACTGTCAGCTGGAATGACAATCGCCTTCCACGGCTTCATGATGGAACACAAGAGAGCACCTTCTCAGCGACATCAAGCGTTGGTTCAGCGAGCAGTATGATCATTCTGGCCGCCCTCAATACCAAAAGCAAGGCCATGGCTGGCTTTCTCAATGGCTGCTTGCTATTCAGCGCCTTTTCAGCGGCCAACACCTCTTTGTATGTCGCATCGCGTACATTGTATGGGATTGCAAGGTCTATGCCCCGAGAGTTCTGGATCACCAAGAAGCTTAGCATCCTAAGCCAGGGAACTCGGGTCCCGGTAGGAGCGCTGCTGGCTACGGTGCTTGCATTTTGCTGGGTGCCTTTTCTCAGACTCAACAACGGCTTTGTCACACAGCAGGTACATAATTCGCTTCTCTACTGATCGAAAGCGTGATGACTGACAGGATTCTTCAGGTAGTTCAGGTGGTGAGCACCTCAGCTAGCAACGCGATCATGATCGTATGGGCAGCTATCTGCCTAGCCTTTCTTCGCTATTATTACTGGTCAGTGGGACCTACATGTGCATGTTCGAGTAGACCTTATTTGCTCACGATTGCGACAGGCTGAAGAAACACGACCCCGAACTCCGGCATTCAAGTCGCCCAGAATTCATCCGAGACTCGCCGCAATATACACCTCGCGGATCTCTCTTAGTCATTCAACCCGTACAGGCCTGGGTTGGCTTGATTGGATGTGTCGCGATCTTCGCATTTTCGAGCGCAACATGGTGGGGATCCCATGCGACAGTGACCGAGGTCGCCATGGCATACGGGGCCGTAAGTGTTTCCCGAACCTCTTCTTTCCTTGTTGGTATCCTAATAGCATGCAGCACCTGGTTGTTGTCCTCTTACTCGTGGTTCTCAAAGTATGCAGGAGGCGGAAAGAATGGTTTCGCGCGACGCCCAGTGCAGTTCAGCTGCTGAATATTCTGAATGACTTGCGTGTTCGCAAGATCGATCGATGGGAGCCGACGACCCTAGAGCGTGTGAAGAAAGTTTCAGTGCTTCTGCTCCGTCGTTACCGGAATTCGAGCCCGGAGGTGGCGCAGAGCCAGGAACCACAGGAGCTCTATGGACGGGTCGTTGTCTCCCAGCATGACACCAATGGCCTGGCCAAATTGAGAACCCCGGTTCCTGTTCCACAACCTCGTGACTCGTCTGATGTGTGAGGTGTATATATTCAGGCATATAATCACTAATGAGTCTAGTGGGGATAATCTTTTGTTACAAGGCTGGTTGGCAGAGTAAGATGTTCTTCTACTATCGATAATATTGTAAGATAATGTCATTAAATAAAAGAAGTTGCAATACACTACAACAATAGTTTGAGAACTGGTTTAAAATGAGGGCGAGCTGTCTGAAACTGTTAGCAACCAGTTTACAACTACCTAGCCAGTTATAGCTCCTCTGAAAGGATATCATAGTCAAACCGGTTTCAACTGTAGGCAAACAGATGCTGTAGTCTGGATCCATAAACTACCTTACCTTCCGAGACCAACTCTGCACGTAAGCGACCTGGCCAGGCTCCGGGGATTCTCTCGGGGTGGTAGATTGAGTTAGCCCGAGTCTGACTGCTGCTGTCATCCATGATTTGGAGTAACATTTCCCATTTTCAACCACTTGGTTTGCTCTTCCTCTCCACTTGGTTCTCGGGACCAAGCCAAACCAGTGCCCATTCAAACCAATTAACTGACATTCTCAATTCCATAGACTACAGATTACTTGACCGATCTCTTGACTGGGTGGTCTAGGTTACCCCGCACTATGTAATGATGGCCCAAGGCTTATCTACATTTACATGTTGCATTGCTAGTCCCGATGGGTTTACTGCACTGCGCCACGCCAACCACCACCAACAAAAGGACAACCAAGCAGAATTCAGGTGGCTTGTTCGTGTGGGAATTAGCGGGACGGTACGTACCTGAACTCCAAGACACATGAAATTAGATGTGTAGCGAGCATTGCCATACTGGAGGCTGACTGCCAATTCCTGCCTTACTTCCAGAATAGCCGCCTCACTCTCCTTGGTGTAAGGAAGCAGCCGCCCAGATGTTACTCCAACACTGCCTCGACCTGGCAGAAGGCCTGCGCACATGTTTGCCTGATGGGTTGAGCGAGAGCCGCTCTTCAGTCGCGGGGGTGGGGAGTGGCCGGGCGTCTGGGTGACGCGGACCGGAGACTGGGGGCATGTCTTCAGGTGCCGACGGCGGAGGACGTGGAGTTCAGTTCCCCCGTCCATTCTGTAGCTGTATCGAGTTGTACATACAATCCCTGGGATTTGAAGTGAGGATAATGATCATGAGAATGACAGGGACTAACGCCTATCTTTGTTGCTATGCTTCTGTTTGGTACCGTATTGCTTACATATTTCTTTTTCCATGGAGGAAAACGAGCCAGATACCATGCAAGAGAGGTCATGGGGGAAGTACTGTCCTGCGACATCAATTGTCCGGTGGGCAATGAAGATCGTCAACCTCACCAAAGACTAAGCATGCACTGTCATCTCATAATATCCACTTTTTACGAGTCTACAT